TCAGATCATAGCACAATCAAATTAGAGCTCAAAATTAAGAAATTCACTCATAGCCACACAACTACATGGAAATTGAACAATCTGCTCCTGAATGACTCTTGGGTAAACAATGAAATTAAGGCAGAAATCAAGTTCTTTGAAACTAATGAGAACAAAGAGACAATGTACCAGAATCTCTGCAAGGCAGGCTAAGGAGTGTTAAGAGGGAAACTTACATCTCTAAATGCCCACATCAAAAAGCTAGAAAGATCTCAAGTTAACAACCTAACATCACAACTAAAAGAACTATAGAACCAAGAGCAAACAAACCCCAAAGTTAGCAGATGACGAGAAACAACAAAGATCAGGGCTGAACTGAGGGAGAGAGAGAGACACACAAAAAAACCCTTCAAAAAATCAAAAAATCCGGAAGTTGGCTTTTTGAAAACATGAAAAATAGATAGACTGCTAGCTAGACTAATAAAGAAGAAAAGAGAGAAGAATCAAATAAACGCAATACAAAATGATAAAGGGGATATCACCACTGACCCCAAAGCAATACAAATAACCATCAGAGAATACTATAAATATCTCTATGCACATAAACTAGAAAATATAGAAGAAATGGATAAATTCCTGGACACATACACCCTCCCAAGACTGAGCCAGGAAGAAGTTGAATTTTTGAACACACCAATAACAAGTTCTGAAATTGAGGCAGTAATAAATAGCCTACCAACCAAAAACAAAACAAAACAAAACAAAAACCCAGGACCAGACAGATTCACAGCTGAGTTCTACCAGAGGTACAAAGAAGAGCTGGCATCATTTCTACTAAAATTATTCCAAAAAATTGAAAAGGAGGCACTCCTCCCTAACTCATCCTGATACCAAACCTGGTAGAGATAAGACCAAAAAAGGAAACCTCAGGCCAATATCCTTAATGAACACTGATGCAAAAATCCTCAGTAAAATGCTGGCAAACCAAAACTAGCAGCACATCATAAAGCTTATCCACCATGATCAAACTGACTTCATCTCCAGGATGCAAGGTTGGTTCAACATACCCAAATCAGTAACTGTGATTCATCACATAAATAGTACTGAAGACAAAACCCACAGATTATCTCAACAGAGGCAGAAATAGCCTTCAATAAAATTCAACATCCCTTCATGTTAAACACTCTCCATAACTTAGATATTGAAGGAACATACCTCAAAATAATAAGAGCCACGTATGACAAACCCACGTCAATATCATACTGAATGGGCAAAAGCAGGAAGCATTCCCTGTGAAAACTGGCACAAGACAAGAATGCCCTTTTTCATCACTCCTATTCAACATAGTATTGAAAGTTCTGGCAAAAGCAATCAGGCAAGAGAAAGAAATAAAGGATATTCAAATAGGGAGAGAGGAAGTCAAACTGTCTCCGTTTGCAGATGACACGATCCTATATCTAGAAAACCCCATCATCTCAGGCCAATAGCTTCTTAAGCTGATAAACAACTTTAGCAATCATCAAGGATACAAAAATCAATGGGCAAAAATCACTAGCATTCCTATACACCAACAACAGGCAAGCAGAGATCATGAATGAACTCCCATTCACAACTGCTACAAAAAGATTAATATGCCTCGGAATATAGCTAATAAGGAAAGTGAAGGACCTCTTCAATGGGAACTACAAACCACTGCTCAAAGAAATCAGAGAGGACACAAATAAGTGGAAACACATTCCATGCTCATGGATAGGAAGAATCAATATCATGAAAATGGTCATACTGCCCAAAGTAATTTATAGATTCAATGCTATTCTCATTAGACTACTATTAACATTCTTCATAGAATTAGAAAAAACTACTTTAAAATTCATATGGAATGAAAAAAGTTCCTGAATAGCCAAGACAGTTCTAAGCAAAAAGAACAAAACTGGAAGCATCACACTACGCAACTTCAAACTATACTACAAGGCCAAGGTAACCAAAACAGCATGGTACTGGTACAAAAACAGACACATAGACCAATGGGACAGAATAAAGAACTCAAAAATGAGACCACACACCTGCAATTATCTGATTTTCAACAAACCTGACAAAAACAATGGGAAAAGGATTCCCTATTTAAAAATGGTGTGGGGAGAACTGGCTAGCCACATGCAGAAAATTGAAACTGGATCACTTCCTTGTACCTTAAACAAAAATTAATTCAAGGTGAATTAAAGACTTAAATGTAAAACCCCAAAGTATAAAAACCCTAGAAGAAAATCTGGGCAATACCATTCAGTACATAGGCATGGGCAAAGATTTCATGATGAAAATATCAAAAGCAATTGCAACAAAAGCAAAAATTGACAAATGGGATCTGACTGAACTAAAGAGCTTCTGCACAGCAAAAGAAACTATCATCAGAGTAACAGACAACCTACAGAATGGGAAAAAATTTTTCTAATCTATCCATCTGACAAAGGTCTAATATCCAGAGTCCACGAGGAACTTAAATGTTTAAGGAAAAAACAAGAAAAAAAAAAAAAAAACCCACGACTCCATTAAAAACTGGGCAAAAACCATGAACAGACACTTCTCAAAAGAAGACATTCATGCAGCCAACAAACATGTGAAAAAAAGCTCATTTTCATTAGAAAAATGCAAATCAAAACCACAATGAGATACCATCTCCTGCCAGTCAGAATGGCAATTATTAATAAAGTCAAGAAACAACAGAAACTGGCAAGGCTGCAGGGAAAAAGAAATGCTTTTGCAGTGTTGGTGGGAGTGTAAATTAGTTCACCCATTGTGGAAGACAGTGTGGTGATTCCTCAGAAACCTAGAGGCAGAAATACCATTTGTTGCAGCAAACCCATTATTGGGTATATACCCCAAAGAATATAAATCATTCTGTTATAAAGATACTTGTACATGTATGTTCATTACAGCACTATTCACATAGCTAAGACATGGAATCAACCCAAATGCCCATCAATGATAGATTGGATAAAGAAAATGTGGTACGTATACACCATGGAATACTATGCAGACATAAAAAGGAACAAGATCATGCCCTTTTCAGGGACATGGGTGGATTTGGAAGCCATTACCCTCAGCAAACTAATGCGGGAACAGAAAACCAAACACCACATGTTCTCACTTACAAGTGGGAGATGAATGATGAGAACACATGGACACATGGAAGGAAACAACACACAATGGGGCTTGTTAGAGAGGGGTTGGGGGAAAGAGAGGATCAGGAAGGTTAGCGAATGGATGTTGCTCTTAATACCTAGATGATGGAATGATCTGTGCAGCAAACCACCATGGCACACATTTGCTTATATAACAAACCTTGACATCCTGCACATATACCCTGAACTTAAAATAAAAATTGAAGAAAAAAAGAAAATTATTGAGATATTTTATATATTTTTTTGGTGCTAAGATTTCAAGATCTGGTAAGAATTTCACACTTACAGCACATCTCAATTTGGACTCGCCATATTTCAGATGCCCAAGAGCTGCATGGGTCTAGAGGCTACCATATTGAACAGGACAGCACTAGGTCTGTGCTTACTCAAACTTTGGCACAGGTTGGAATAATCCAGAGGTAATATTAGACACAGATTCCTGGACTTCATTCATTCACAAAGGTCAGGGGCAGGGCCTGAACATTTGCATTTCCAAAAAGCTCCCAGTTGATGCTGATACTGCCAGTTTACAGACCACGCTTGGGGTAGCTTGCAAACAAAGTACGCACATCTCCCAGTGAATTGTGGCAATTATAATGATGATAACAAATAGTTATAATATTTTACCTTTCAAAAGCACTTTGCATCAACTACTAGAAATTCAAATTAAAACTAAATTATCACTGCACACCCATCAGAATGGCCAAAATGAAAAATAATAACACCAAATGCTAGTAAGGATGTAGAGAAACTGGATCATTCATACATTCCTGGTGAGAATGGAAAGTTGAAAATAGTTTGTCAGTGTATTTTAAAGCTGTAAATGGACTTATCATACAATTACATTTTTGAGCATTTATCCCAGATAAATAAAAACTTATTTCATGCAGAAATGTGTACACACATATTCACAGCAGCTCTATTTGTAATATCCCCAAACTGGAAAGAACTAAAATGTCCCTCAAGAGGTGAATGGTTAAACAACCTAGTGCACCCATACCATGGAATACTATCTGGCAATAAAAAGGTACAAACTGTTAATACACACAAGAGTTTGGATGAATCTCAGTGACATTACTATGTGAAAAATACCCAACTTCAAAAAGATATATCCTTCAGGATTCCATCTACATAATGTGTGTGAAAGAACATAGTTGTAGATATGAACAAATTAGTGTTTTTCAGGAATTGGGGAAGAGAAAGGTGGAGGTGTGGTTGTAAAGGGAGAGCATGAGGGAATCTTGTGATGGTTAATCTTGATTATGGTAGTGGTTACACAAAACTACCAATGTGATTAAATTGTACTGAGCTACACACATACTCACACATAAATGAATGCATGCATACGTGGTGAAACCTAAATAAGCTCTGTAGATTGTGCTAATGTCAATTTCCTGTTTTTGATATTGTGGTATAGTTATGCAAGGTGTTAACACAGGGTGAAGGGTACACAGAACCTCCCTGTACATTTATTTGTACCTTCTTTGCATCTATCATTAACTCAAAATAAAAAGTTTTTTTTAAAGCACTTTGCATACACTATCTCACTTGATCCTCATGATAACTCTGGGAAGTGAGTAGTATGATCATTGGCATTATATAAAAAAGAAAACCAAGGCCCAGGGGACCAACTACAGATGGAAGATTACATAGCTAGAAGCTGGCAAAGCCAGGTCTGAAATAAGACTGCATCCTCTTAGAAGTATTGATGTATTAATATATAAGTGTTTATAGATATAAAAAGATTTAGGGGACCCAATTATCAGAAATGTAGATGTGTTTCAGATAGCAAATTTGCAAAGTAAAAATAAAACACAAGCCCTCCGTATTCCCATGACTTACGATAGACTTGCAGGTTGTAGCGCTTGGTGGTGGTGTAGGGCTCAGCCTGTGTATTTATGTCTGCTTTGTAGTCTCCTGCGTCTTCCATCCTCAGATCGCTAATGACCAGATCGTACTTCGGACCTAAGGCATGTATCCGTTCATAATAATTTCTGTGGGTCACAGCAACTATGGGTGCCATTTCTGAGTCTCCTGGTGTTACATAAGCAACAGACGTTTTAGAAGTCCACGCAATGTTTGTAACTTGCTGGGGTTCTTGGATATTTACGGGGAAAGTGACTGACTCTCCCAGAATCCCATTCACTGTGATGATTTCTGAGTCTTTTCCAGCTGCTTCTGGCCCTGAGAACATAAAAAGAAAACTGTAGCCATCTGACTGTTGCACTTTTTTCAATTCCTAATCTTTCTGGCCTTGGAGCTCCCTGAGGAGCTGCCACAAATGCAGTTCACCCAGTTTCTTGAGGATGTCTTTTTTTTCTTTTCTTTTTTTTTTTTTTTGTGCAATCTACTCTAGGTATATTTGATATGTCATGACAACTAAATTTTCTAAAGCATTCTCATTCAAAAGCTAAGTTTCTCATTAGAGATCCATTTTGTTAAAAATATTTTTACTTAGACTTACAGACTCTGAAAGCTAGAAGGCATTTGAGAGGTGAAGGCCATAAGCCTCCATGTAGTCTAAGATATTAAGTGCATTTCTTTTCCAAGATCATATTGCCAAGTGGTGGAAGAGCTGGAACAAGAATCTGGAATATCTTGGCTGATGGAGTCTTGGGTCATTGCTTTTTATTTTCCTGTGATCTCTGCAAAAAGCAAGTAACTGTTTTGTCTCTCTTCTTGGAAGATACAGGAAGAGAGTGCTTTGGAGTTTCTGGAGAAAATATTCCCCAAGTTGGTGATTTTAGGGGATATTTTTCTGTTTACTTCCATATTCCTAGTCTCTAGAAGAGTGCCAGACACATACAAGGGGCTTAATAAATATTTGTGGAATTAATTGATAGAATTTATTCATGTGTTTCCTAGACTCTCTTGGAACAACTTCTGAAGTAAGCAAGTTTTGTTTATTCATTCATACATTTGTGAATGAATGCGTGTATTTTTTCAGGATCAGTTTTGTTTCAGATACTATGGTGGGTATTTATTAATTTAATTCATAATATAAGTGTTTTTTGGACATCTACCCTTTTAAATAAGATACAAGGAGCTGGGGATACAATGGCGAGAAGAACAGACATAATTCTTGCTGTTTGGGACTTACAGTCAGAGGAAGATACCAATGTTGATCAGATGATCATACAAACAAATGGATAGGCACAAAATATGTAAGTATTATGGTGATTTGAGAGAGACCAACAAGGGGACTTGATCTGCTCTGGGAATTCAGGGAACATTTCCTAGTGAAAGCTGAAGGATGAATGCTTTTAAAATGTAACATAGAAAAATGAAAAGCTTATTTTCTCCTCCCTTTTCTCTCCTCTATCACTTTTGAAGATAAACTGTTTTAATATATAGTTTGTAAAATGAGAGACAACTAATTTTAAGACATTATTTTTCTGCTCTTCCTCCTCCTCTTCTTCATTATCCTGTAATTCTCAATGAGGGCTCTTTAGTGAGAAATACTGTTTGGGGCAAGCATGGATGATATCCAAAGTATTGAATAACCAATATGACAGGGACCCTGACCAATCAGAAAGGGTGTTAGCCATAAAAAAACTAGTTGGGCGGTTCTGGTGTGTACTGGCTGCATGTAGGTTCTGATGACCACAACATCAGTTTTCCACATAAGTGTGTTCAGGCTGACCCTAAAGTTTATCCAAGGCTTGGTATATGGAAGAATAAGGATCATAAAGTATACACATCACTTTAAAGTGGTGCAAAACAAAGGGATTTCTTAACCTGATGGTGCTGTCTCACTTTGGCTACCCTTGCTCTTCAGCTCAGCAACCACTGAAAGAGTCTTAGGGACAGCTGATGTAAACCTCTTTCCTTTCTGACCAACAAAGATTTTCCCGTAGGAGCAGTATCCAGGACAAGGCCTGAGGATTTAGTTGGGGGGTGGCTAAGTACAGAAGATATAACAGGGTGGGGAGTATGTGGGGTGGGAGTAGGAAGGGGGAATCGGGAACCCTTATCTGCAAACATTTATTAAGTGCTAATTATGTGTCAGATGCTGTGTTAGGGACACAGGGATAAACAGGACATTGTTGCAGCCCTGAGGAGCTCACAGCCCAGAAAATAAGACAGATATGGACACAAGTGAAAGATAACACAACACGATGAGTGCTAAATGGTAAAAGCAATAGAAATAAGCCATTGGGGTGGCAGGTCAGAAAGAGGCTAATGCTGCCTTTGGTGGTAAGAGTCATAGTTTGCTAAAATTCAAGAACATTAATTCTCCCAGATAAACTGTTTTTCTGTACTGACGAGTTCGAGGAGAGGGGTGTTTGTAGTGTCCCAGCCTGAATCCCTGGATGGTCCTGGAATGGGCATGTGATCTATGCAGTTGCACAAAACCCTGAGCTCAAAAGGACCCTGAACTGGACTTAATGCTGCATTGCCACCTTTAAATTCTACATAATATTTAAACAAGGGGCCCTCCACTTTCATTTTGCACTGGGCCTCACAAATCATCTAGCCAGTCCTGGTCTCAGATCTCCCATGTCCCAAGTCTTTTTTGAAGTCAGGCCCTAGTGCTTAATTGCCACACTACGCTATGGATTGAGATTAGGTGTGAGGAGATAGACAGAACATAGATTCCACAGACTCGTAATTTTGCTGGGTTCTCTCACCAAACGCCAAGAAGTATGTAGGTAGATTATTAAGGCTGAGACCTTCTTAATATTAGGGCCGTTGAGCAGCCACAGTGGTTGGTGTGTGGTGCAGTTTTAAAAGTATGTCTCATCCCCTGTAGCAAGTCATTCAGGAAGTGATGGTGGGGTATCAAAGAGCAATCAGGCAGTGGGGGTGGTGGATAGGCAAAGCTGGGGGAAGCTGTTATTTGTGCTGCTGGTGTTGATGGCATGAATACTTTGCTTGCTAGAAAAGGCAAAGGGGTTGCACATGTTTAAGATGAAGATTCTGCCACCTTCAAACACTCCAACTGTGCTTTGAGAGAGGCAACTGCAAAACCATTGCATGCAGTGGAAAGATAGGGAGGCAGAAGGCATAGGTGTAAGTACTTCTACTTATGAGCTGGACAACCTTAACGAGGTCACAAAACCCTTCTTTTTTATTTATTTATTTTTTTTGAGACAAAGTCTTACTCTTTCACTGTCACCCAGGCTGGAGTGTAGTGGAATGATCTTGGCTCACTGCAACCTCCGCCTCCTGGGTTCAGGCAGTTCTCCTGCCTCAGCTACCTGAGTAGCTGGGATTATAGGTGCATGCCATCATGGCCAGCTACTTTTTGTAATTTTAGTAAAGACAGGGTTTCACATGTTGGCCAGGTTGGTCTTGAACTCCTGACCTCAAATGGTCTGCCCACCTCAGCCTCCCAAAATGCTAGGATTACAGGTCACAAAACCTTTCTGAGCCTCCATTTCTTCATCCATAGAATGAAAATAATAACTATGCTATTTGTCCTATTTGGTGAATAGCAAATGATGTAATATGAGTAGAAATGCTTTGCTGATCATCAAGGCAAAATAAATGTTAGTTATTTCTGGAGTTGATAATGATATCTTAACATTCATCATATGTTCTTTATCATCACTTTAACAATTGGTACCTGCCCTTTGGGCCTGCCCTAGGCCATCGTTATGATGGTCTTCGTGATGCCAGGGCCATACTGGAGCATATATCAACAGCCATTTTTTAAGGGCTAATTCAAGTAAAGCCTAGAGGGACAGTTTTAGGTACCCTGGATAGACTTTATTCTGCTCTTAGAAGACTTTAAGATTTAAAAGAAAGAATGTCCATATCAATCAATCCCAATATTTATTTTTCTAGGTGCTAAGGGGACCCTAACATTATGTTATCACTGGAAATGACCTTACTAAAATCTAATTTCAGAGATAACTTATGGCACAAAAACATCTTGAGGACTTACCATGAAATGCACTATGCTAGTCTATGGCAAAGACAGATTCTCTGCCTTTTGGGGGGAATTTGATACCTGGTTAGGGAAATAAGATACACACACACACACACACACACACACACACACACACACACACAATTCTGCTTTGCAGTATGAGATAGTAAATAATAAATTCAAGTGAATGGTAGAAACAGTGGTTACGATAGGAATTCTAAGAAGGGAGGGATCGCTGAGCTGTAGTGGTTAGAAAAAACATCTCAAAGAAAGTAGAATTTGAGGAGGATTTTGAAGGGTGAATAGAATTCTACTTGATGGAAAGGGAAAGGAAGAGTGTCTCAAGTCCTTGGATCCTGAATAAAAGTATAGAAGCAGAAACTGTGATGTTAGTTGGATGAATATAAATTTGCATATCAGAGTGGACAGAGGTACAGCTGGAGATACAAATTAGGTTTAGATTTGAGACAGCCTTCAGTTTGAGGTCTCCACCAGAGGCAGAGGGGAACTATTAAGGTTTTTGAGGGTGAAGATTAAAATAATGTTTTAGTCATCGTAAGCTAGTAATAATGTGTGGGGAGGAAAACAGGAAAGAGAGGCTGCATCAGAGAGGCCATTTAGGGAATACTGTAGTCTTCTGGGCATGAACCAGGGGATGATAACGGGAATGGAAAGGAAGGGCTGGATTTGACGATAACACAGAGAAAGGCAAGAAATAAAGAGGCATCTGCTAGAATTCAATTGTTCATCAATATATTTTGAGTTTCTATTTTATGTCATTGAAAAACTCATAAAGTTTATGATGGAAATAAGTCAAAGGGGAAAGGACACGTTTAATCTTAGAAATATTAAATTTCAGATGACAGTGGACCCTGTAAGTAAGCTATTGGAAGGATGGAAGATAAGGAGAGAGAATGGACTTGAAGTATTATTTGGGGCATTGTGGCAGAATCTGCTAGCTGTTTTCCAATATATGTTCCCTCCTTCATTCTTAGTAATAGAATTGTTAAATTTTAGCAGGGCATAGAGCCACCCAGAGTAAAGACTATATTTTCCTGCTTTCTTCTAGCTAACGTTGGTCATATGACTAAGTTCGGCCCAACAGAATAAAAATGGAAGTGTTGTATATGACCTCTATGTCTTTAAGAAGAGTGGGGAACCTGGTGTGGTGGCTCACATCTGCAATACCAACACTTTGGGAGGCTGAGGCAGGTGGATCGCTTGAACCCAGGAGTGCAAGACCAGTCTGGGTAAGATGGCAAAACCCTGTCTCTACAAAAAAGTACAAAAATTACCTGGGCATGATGGT